ATTAAAGATAGTGAAAATTAAGATAGAAGACATTTCAGGAGTTGGTCCCCAAAACGATCAACTGAAGTTTGCTTTGTAAGGCTGGGACTTGAAGGTGGAAAATGTTTGGAACTACGCTTGGGAGGAATGTTATAGAAATTCATCAAGAGGCAGAGACAAAGATTTCATTTTTATTGCAGGCCTGGTTAACGCTAGACAGCAACAGTTTATAGTGGGCCCATTTTCTGTATTATATTTCTGCAGTGCATGGCAGTTTGAAATCAGAGAAAGCAGATAGCAAGCAATATCTGGGATTGGGATGTGGCTAGGTGGGTCCAAGAAATTAGTGGTGTTGATGAGGGAAGGATAGAAATAATGACAGAGGGTTAGTGACTCTAGCAAAGACTCACTTTGCACCTGTTTTTAGTTTTTCATGTGGTTCCCAGGAAATTTTAAATTACATAATGTGGTTCACATTATGTTTCTGTTGGGCAGCACTGATCTAGAAAGTAACTGGTAACCTAGAAGGTAAGGAGTTAAAAGCTGCCCTTAGGCAAAAGTCTATATTAAGTACAGTATTGTAAAGCAAAGAGAGCTTGGCACTTAGAGGCATTTGACTCAGGGTCAAGTCCCAGAAAACCCAAGTCCTTACAAGCCTTCATGCTGTTTCCATTGCCTGAAATAATCTTTCTAATATCTTGTGCACTGTGATTTTTCTTTATCAGTTGAGTCAGCTCAAATATTGACTTGCTCTGCAAAAGCTCTCTCCACCCTGATGATCCCACAGCCCTTCTGTGTATTGTAATTATCTATGTTTGCATACTTCTATTGAGATCCTAAAGGAGGGGTTTGGAATACATGCCTAGTACCCCGTATGTATTGGGTTCTCAGAGGGTTTTTATTAAGTGAGTGAGTATATAATTGAATGAATAAATGCGTTACTAATTTAATAAGCTTGGTTATTTATCTTTTCCTTCTGGGTAACATTGGCAGTACATTTGGCATAGTAGCGTAAGTATAGGATTGTTACAGGAATCAGATTTGGTGAAGAGCCATGAAGAAGCAACCCTAGTAGAAAGGCACAACTTTCTGGAGCTGTTTAGTGTGGGCTCTGTTGCTCTCATTTCAGTCCTACTAAAGGTGTCACTATAATAGCACAGTGCAATAAATGATCTTTTATTCTACATAAAGATTATGTACAGTCTCTCTTTTTTTTTTTAAGGTGGTAAAGCATGTAATGATTTTAGGAAGGTCTTTATCAAAACTGGTTCAAATTAGATTTTTGATACTTCAAGGAGTAAATTTTTAAATACTCATTTCAATGTTGTAGACTTTACAAGTGTGAGGTAGTGTTCATGAAGATAAATGTCGCAAGCCTGACTTCTTAGAGATAAGAGGGTTAGGAAAAAACAAAATCTAGAGGAGCTTTCTTTAAGGATTTATCTTTGGGTCTACTAATAGGTATTATCAGTTAATGATCAGTTATCAGTTAGTGATATTAATAGATCTAGGCAGGTATTTCAGAAATTGCATGACCCTCAGTCCTGGCTTATCCCTATTTCATGGTCAATGTTTTAGAAATTTAGAAACCTTGAGTTGATTTATGTGGTTGGGTGTCTGTACATAGTTCTTTATTTTTATTTTATTTTTATATATTTTAAACATTTATTTATTTATTTATTTATGGCTGTGTTGGGTCTTTGTTGCTGTGCGCGGGCTTTCTCTAGTTGCGGCCAGTGCGGGCTACTCTTCGTTGCGGTGCACGGGCTTCTCATTGCAGTGGCTTCTCTTGTTGTGGAGCATGGGCTCTAGGTGCACGGGCTTCAGTATTTGTGGCACGTGGGCTCAGTAGTTGTGGCGCAGGGGCTTAGTTGCTCTGCAGCTTGTGGGATCTTCCCAGACCAGGGATGGAACCCATGTCCCCTGCATTGGCAGGTGGATTCTTAACCATTGTGCCACCAGGGAAGTCCCTGTATATAGTTCTTTAAATCACTGGATGTTAGCTTTTAGAGTATTATTCTTTTGATTTTTATGACATTTAAGTTTGGGTGGGTAGCAAGAAAGTAATTTTGAATATTGTGTGAGGTTAGTTTTAAGCTGAAAGAAAATGAATTGAATTGGATTTTTAATATATTTTTCTTTGACTTTATATAACTTTACTGTCACTTGGAGCGGGGCCTTTAGAGATTCTAGTCTAAGTGAGAAAAAACTCTTTCCCTGCTTTCCAGACCCTGACTCCTCAAAGCCAGTTTGAATGGTGGTTAGGTTATTTATGGATAGACAGATTCCTTTTGGGAATGATGCACAGGTAGTGAGAATTAATCTTTGGCATCTTCTTCCCCATCCCCCTATGGTAATTAGTTGAAGGGAAGACGTTTCTGTATTCATTTATTTATGAAGTAAATAGCTTATTTATGAATCCATGGTCTGATCATAGATGGTAGAGAACTAAATAAAAGTATTTTTACAGCTGATGGAAAAATCAAATGGATATTTGTTTTACCTTCATATTTCTTACCTAATAAGTTACCAATTTGGGAATATTTTCAAAATTTATCCTCTCCTGTCCATTCTCAGCGCTATTGTTTTGGCTTATGGCGACATCATTTCTTGTCAGGATTTATTGCATTTCTCTTATGTGGTCCTTTCTTCCTCTCCTGCCAGAGAGTGGGGTTTTCCAATATCAGATCAGTTACTCTTCTGCTTAAAATTCTTAGTTTCCTCAAAGCCCTTGTTGTGATACGCACAGGCTCTCTGTGATATGACCTCTAGCCTCCTTCCCAGTCATAAACTTCACTATTATCAACAGTTGAAGATATTATTTCACTGTTTGCCGGCTTCTGTTGTTGGTGTTGATGAGTCAGGCACTCAGCATAATGGCAATTCTCTTGAAGGTGATATTTTCTTCCTGGGTGCTTTTAAGGGTCCTTTTGTTTTGTGTTTTGTTTTTAAATAAACCTCTGTGTTACACAGTTTCACTATGATGTATCTTTACCCTGCTTGGGATTCTTTGATCTTCCTTTGAGGATTGGCTTTTTTTTAACACTTCCAGAAAGTTCTCGGCCATTATTACTTCAAATTTTTCCTCTCCTTATAGAGCTTTCATTAGGTGCATTTTGGACCTTCACATTCTCCATGCCTTTTTTCCAAGTGGAATATTGTGAAACGATATAAAGAATCAAAATGTCCAATAGAGGATTAAATAAATTCTGTTTCAGGCATAAAAATAGAATAGTAGACCAATAAAAATGATGTGGAAGAATATATAATGATATGCAAAGATACTAACAATATGTTAAATGAAAACAGGTTACCAAACAGTATTCATAATGACTCTGTTTTTATAGTATGTATATTTATAATATTATATTTAATATTATTATTTAATTTTTGCCAAAGTAAAAGGACAAATAATATTTACCAAAATGTTAAAATTAGTTGCTTGAATATCATAGGATAATGAGCGATCTTATTAGATCATTTTTTGGAGGCTTGGATTTTTAATTTTCTATAAATGAGAGGGGGGTTTTCATTTCTCTTGTGTATTTACCTAGGGGTGGAATTTCTGGGTTAAATGGTACCTCTGTGTTTACCTTTTGAGGAACTTCCAGACTTTTTCAAAAGCATTGTGTCATTTTACATTCTCACCAGCAATGTAGGAGCGTTTTAATTTCTCCATGTTCTGGTCAAAGCTTTTTTCTCCTCACTTAAAAAAACTGTTTTGGGACTTCCCTGGTGGCGCAGTGGTTAAGAATCCTCCTGCCAATGCAGGGGACGTGGGTTCGATCCCTGGTCCAGGAAGATCCCACAACTTCTCAGTTGCTTCCAGGTCTCTGGAGCAACTGAGCCCGTGGGCCACAACTACTGAGACTGTGCTCTAGACCCTATGAGCCACAACTACTGAGCCCATGTGCTGCAACTACTGAAGCCTGCGCACTCTAGGGCCCGCGTGCCGCAACTACTGAAGCCCGTGCGCCTACAGCCTGTGCTCCCCAGCAAGAGGAGCCACCGCAATGAGAAGCCCGTGCACCACAACGAAGGGTACCTCCTACTCACCACAACTGGAGAAAGCCCACACACAGCAATGAAGACCCAACACAAACAAAAAAATTTTTAAAATAGTAAATAATAAACTCTGTTTTATTTGTACCAAGCTTATAAACATCATTGTTACAAGTGTTTATTAACACTCTCTAATTGTATTACAGAAATGCTATCACATCCAATCCCTGAAATAATGCTCTTCTCAAAATTTCCTGCTTGTACAACTCTTTTTCTAGCTTTATTGAGATAATTGACACATAACATTGTATTAGCTTAAGGTGTACAATGGCCAACACTTATGTGTTTTGATTATAACCATCCTAGTGGGTATGAAATGATATTTCTTTGTGGTTTTGATTTGCATTTCCCTGATGGCCAGTGATATTGAGCATCTTTTCAGATGGTATTGACCATTTGTATATCTTTTTTGGAGACGTGTCTTTTCAGATGCTTAAGTTGGACTATTCATCTTTACCATTGAGTTGTAGGAGTTCTTTACATATTCTGGATGCAGGTTCCGGATCAGATTTGCAAGTGTTTTTCCCCGTTTTGCATCTTTTTACTTCTTTGGAGCAGAAACTTTTTTTTTTTTAATTTTTGACCAAGTCCGATTTATTTAGTTTTTCTATTGTTGCTTGTACATTTTACTACTCATAGTTGCAGGATCCATTCACAGAAACTAATTTCCTCTACTGTCAGAATTTCCTATACTGTCAGCATCCTATGATTAATATAGTTGTAAGTGCTGTGTGTACATATAGTAGTTTTGTTTTTTTTCGACTTAGCATTTTTATGTATAAATTTCCTTCTATTTATATTGCCCATGCTTCATTTTTAAGAGTTGTGTCATGTTTTGTGGTTGTACCATAGTTTACATAGTCGTCATCTTTTGCTTGTTTTTCAACTTCACGATTTAAATAATGTTGATAGGTAACTATCTCCATCAACTTAAAAGTTATATTTTTTTCTTTCCTTAGGTCGGATTGATTTAAAACAGCTGATAGCAAAGAAGATACAGTTGACAGCAGAGGCAGAGGTAAGTAACTCCCTCTTCCAGAAACAAAAATGTAGAGTTTTAGGGTAAAGAGTTTTATTCAGTACAATTTTTAATGCTAAACTGTGTAAAGAGTTATTTACCTTTCTTAGCAGTCGACATGAAATAGGAAAATAAGGTCTGCCATCTTGTCATCCTACGTAAGAACCAGATTGTTTTTTGTTTTTTTTTTCTGTACTATCATCCATCACTCTCATTTTCTGGCTTTTAACAGTAAAACTCAATTTTAGCAAACATGATACAGTTGAATGCTTGTGTAAGTGCTTGTGTAGGTGCTTTATGAAAGTATCTATCATGTTTCATAGTAAATAATAGGCCTTCAATAAACATTGAATCTGAATTTAGAAGTAGATTCCCTGTTATGGAAGTAGAAGAGATAGAAATATCAACTCACAAACAACATCAAGACATTTCAGGGAATTCCTGGCGGTCCAGCAGTTAGGACTTGACGCTTTCACTGTGGTGGCCCGAGTCCAGTCCTTGGTTGGGAAACTAAGATCCTGGAAGCTGTGCGGCACAGCCCCAAAATAACTAAATAACAGACGTTTCAAGCAGGGCAAACAGTTCTACAAGTTAGAATTCAGCAGTGACCTCAGGAAATTCTGGAGGACAAAGAACACTTAAAAAAAAAACAGCAAAAAAAACTGGGACTTCCCTGGTGGCACAGTGGTTAGGAGTCCTCCTGCCAATGCAGGGGACACGGGTTCGCGCCCTCATCTGGAAGATCCCACATGCCATGGAGCAACTAAGCCCGTGCGCCTCAGCTACTGAGCCTGCGCTCTGCAGCCCGCGAGCCACAACTACTGAGCCTGCATGCCTAGAGCCTGTGCTCTGCAGTGGGAGAGGCCACCACAGTGAGAGGCCCACACACTGCAGTGAGGAGTGACCCCCACTTGCCGCAACTAGAGAGAGCCCGCACGCAGTGACGAGGACCCAATGCAGCCAAAAATAAATTTAAAAAATAAATAATTTTATATAAAAACAATCTAATACTCTGTGTGCCAAATGTAAGTTGACTTCAAATCCAAGGCAGCCTCTCGTTTTCCCAATAAGATCACTTCCAAAATTTCTAAGGTTTTAAGAGTCCTTTGAAATACATGTCTGTTATTCTTTTTAAAAATTTATTTCAGTGAATGGTTTCCTCCAAGCATGTGAATAACTTGTACTAACATAGGCTTAGTGGAAATGCTTGGGTTTTGGAGTCAGACAGACCCACCTCTATAACCTACCTTGTGAACTTAGGCAATTTGCTTATCAGTTTATTCATTCCCTGACACTGTTTTGAACACCTTCTACATGTCAGGCTCTGTTATTAGCCCTGGGATACATAACTAATCAAAATAAAGGGCCCTTTCTTCAGGAAGCTCACATTCTAACACAGGAGATTAGTCAGTAAATAATAAACCTGAAAAGCAAATGACTTATATGGTACAAAAATACATAAGTGCTCAGCAAAAGAAAAAAAATTATTGGCCAACTTGAACATATAAACATCCAATGATGTGGATGAAATAGCCCTGTTTTTATTAATTTAGTTACGTATGCATGCATGCATATATGCATTTATATAGAATACTGTAAATTTCGATATTTTTATCCTGTTTCATAAAACAGTATATGCAAGATTGTTTGCATTCACTTTGATATTAGTGTCTTTGTAATTGTGAGAGCTAGTTTTTCAGTTATTTCCAGTCCTGGGGTATTTTCACTGTCATCTCGTTTGTTGGAGATCCAGCACTTTTTGAGTCCAGGGATGGTGCTCTCACTAGACATTTTACTACAAGTACCTATTTGCTTAACATTGTGATATCTCCCTGCCCTCCCCCCCCAATTCCGGAGGTATATATGTGTTTTCTACAATATAAGCACTTTACATTGCTTTATAAAGTGGTATTCAAAAGGTATATTGACTATACTTGAAACTGAGAGTCTAGACGTCTAGTTAATAGTGTGTTACATTTTATTTTTCCTGATTCCATTAGGTTACCTGCGTAAGCCTTTAAAACTACAGTGATCAAGGCCATTTCTGGTGAATGTCTTTTCCAGTTAAAAATTTGTTGTCCCATTATAAGAGATTGAAGACTTGATGATTTGGTAACTTGCACTTCTCTGAGGGCTAATTTATAATTTTGGCTAACAAAAGAAAACTCTTTAGTTTGCAGGCATATGTGCTATTTTTAAGGACCCACTCTTGCAAATTTAGTCATTACAATGAAGAAATTTTGTTTTTATGGCTTACCAGAGTATTCCTGACCTTTATTCCTCTAGACGGGCTGGACACCTTCCATTCCTTTTCAGATTCCCCTTCTGTTCCTCTTCTGCTCCTTGTCCCCTTCCCAGAAAGAACACAAAGCCCTTATTGTGCTCTGCTTGTGAGGGAACGTTTTCACATTCGTGAAAGTGCAGTCCATCCCTGCTGTCATTGCTATTTATTTTAAAAATCTGAGGTGGGAGGGGAATTAAAAAAATATATAGCATCAGTAACCCAAAGAGGAAAGGGAATGTAGAGTGAGAAGAAAAAGGGGAGGGGAGAGGGGGAATGGAGGGAATGTTTCAAGGACTTAAGTTGAAACTTTGTTTTTAAAGAGAATATTCTACTTCTCTACTTTATATATGAATCAGTGAATAATATTATTCTTTAGTTTGGTCAGTTGGAAAGATTTGAAGGAGAGAGAAAGAAATGGATGAAGTAAGGGAATAGAAGCGGAGGGAAAGGTAGAGGTTGGTTTAGCTAGTATTATTTATTACTCTGTGTTGTGCAAGACTTGTTCCCAGTCATTGAAGGAGGGCATGGCTTGAACAGAGGTATGGAGCAAAGAAACTTAAACTGTGTCTTGGAAATTACACTTGATTAGCATCTGTGCCCCTGGTGGAGCATGACAGAAAGAAAAATAAAATTTGGGCCAGATTGTAAGCCTTTTTTTTCCTATCTTCATGCCCTTGTTCATGAAGCTCTTCCTACTTGAAATTTCCTTTAACTTCCTACCTTCACCAATCAAAATACTATATATCCTTCAAATTCTCACTCAAATGCTGCTGCTTCTAAAGTTTTCTAGGACTTCCCTGGTGGCGCAGTGGTTGAGAATCTGCCTGCCAATGCAGGGGACACGGGTTTGAGCCCTGGTCTGGGAAGATCCCACATGCCGCGGAGCAGCTGGGCCCGTGGGCCACAACTACTGAGCCTGCGCGTCTGGAGCCTGTGCTCCGCAACAAGAGAGGCCATGATAGTGAGAGGCCCGCGCACCGCGATGAAGAGTGGCCCCCGCTCTCCGCAACTAGAGAAAGCCCTCGCACAGAAACAAAGACCCAACACAGCTATAAATAAATTAATTAATTAAATTTTAAAAAAATTTAAAGTTTTCTAAATACCCCAGCTTGAAATGATGTCCTCCCTTTTATACTTCAAAGGTCTTAGCATATACTCTATTTGTTATACACTGCTTGTTCTGAGTGAATCACCAAAATTCCTTTGGGGAACTTATGGATGATTTGACTTAGGAGTGTTTTAATTGGCAATTTGGTATCTGAAGAGATTGAACATCTTGCCATTATTAATTGCAGCGTTTTTGAGGGAGATACATTAGGAATGCTATACTGATATCAAAGTTGAAGATACTCTATAGAGTTTGGAAACACTGAGACCAGATTGGAAGCTACTGTAATATTTTAGTATTCTAGACTGAGTAAATAGGGACAGGGAGGAGAAGGGAACTGCATTTAGAAGTCCTGTTATGGGCTAGGCCTTATATTAGGTAGGTGCTTTATGTATGTAATCTTATTTACTTAAATTATCCCATTCATAACAGTGATGTCTAACTGGTTATGTTTTTTTGTTGTTTTGCTTTGTTAGTAACATTTACTAATATGCAATGACCACTGAGGTGGCAGGTATGTGAATATTGTTCAGAGCCATGAAATTTACTTGTTCTTTTCCCTTGTGGGTTTTTAGAAATAATTTTAGAGACAAATGAAAATGAACAATCTTTCTAGTCATTTGTAATTTGGTGTCATGTTCCAACCCAGCTGGCCACTCTTACCCTAATGTTTAAAGTAAGAACACTGGACTAGTTATCTCCGGGGTCCCCTTCAGCTCTAACAATCTGTGTCATCATTGTGTAGCTAACTTAAACTTTTGCTCCTAATTCTCTACTTCCTGTTGTAAAGGGAATAGATAGCCTATAGCTCTTACTGGGCAACTCTTTCGGCTCCATGGCACTAGAGTTGTTAGATAAAATACAGTATGCCTAGTTAAATTTGAATTTCAGGCAAACCACAGATAGTTTGTTGGTCATCATGCAATATTCGGGACATACCTAGACTAAAAAAGTTAGTTGTTTATCAAATTCAAATTTAACCAACTGTCCTAAATATATATATTGGGGGGGTGTCTCCTATATTTTTATTTGCTAAATATGGCAACTTACAAAGAATTCAGTGAAAATTTATATGTACAGATAGAGGAGCTCCTATTAAGGAAAGGTGTGAAGAAGGTTGTCAAGTACTGAGCAAGCTCTTTAGTCCTAAGGGAAGAGAAATGAGAGAGGTGATGACATTAGTGGGTTGAACTGATTGAATTTTTTAAGGTCACTTCTAGGTCTAAATGCTGTCATAAAAAAAACTTTGAAGTACTTAATTAAAAAAAAAATATGGTGCTAGTGGGGTCATAGAGCACTGTGTAACTCTGAATCGTGACCTTTTGAAATCCTTAGAATTGTGTTGTAACAAGCCTTTAAAGATCTTGGAACAGTCCAAGGGAGATTCAAATGATTAGGTTCCAACCAGCTACATCAGAGCTACATTCTCTACATTAGTAGAGAAATTAGCTTTGTTTAACATTGTTTTATATTTTTTCTGTTGGTTGCAGATAACAGAAACCTACTTTGCCTTATTTAAGCATAAAAGGAAGTGTATTTGAAAGATGAATGTATCTCATAGAATCCTAGGAGAAGTCAAACACACTCAGGCTTTGGAAAGGATATTTA